ACCTCAACAGCCTACACCCCAAAATACAATTCACCATGGAAACAGAAGCCAACAATCAACTTCCCTTCCTAGATGTCTTGGTATACAAAAGATCCAATGGCTCCCTAGGACACACCATCTACCAGAAGAAAACACATACTAACCGCTATCTACATGCACTCTCACACCACCACCCAGCACAGATCAATTCCGTAGCCAAGACACTCATCTCCAGAACAAAATGCTTAGCCGATGAACAACACCAAAAAACCGAACTACACACTCTCACCAACGTACTTACAGCCAATGGATTCCAAAGAAAGAAGATTACCCACCTAATCCAAAAAGAAACCCCAACCAAAATCCAAGACAGAGAACAAGAAAACGGCAAAGCCCTCCTCCCATATATAAAAGGCACTACAGACAAAATTAGCAAGATCCTCCAAAAACACAACATCAAAACAGTATTCTGCACAAACAGAAAAATATCCACCATCCTAAGAAACCCCAAAGACAAAATCGAATTAGAAAACCAAGGAGTATACGAAATCCCCTGCACTGCCTGCCCTACCACATACATTGGACAAACTAACAGAAGAATAAGTGCACGCATTGAAGAACATAAGAACTCAATCAAAAAAGAAGAAACGACCTCTTCCCTGGTCCAACACCTCAAAGCCACAGGACATGAAATTGATTTTAAAAATACCAGAACTATTGCCAAAACCGAACACTTCAACAGCAGAATAATCAGAGAAGCCATAGAGATAGAAAGTAACAGCAGGATACAAATACATCCATAAAATAATCTCGAAGCATCTGATGCAACCACCTCGCTGAAGCAAGATGGCCTGGAAACTAAACTGGTTTAGATCCATCCAATGCTTGAACCCAAGACTGTGTGGGAAGCGTGTGGATTTTTCCTTCACTTCAACAAGGGCAAACCCCCCGCCCCCCAAACTGCATGTTAATAGTTAAGTTCCCCTCCTCGTGGTGATCAGGGATGAGCCTGAACCACCAGTCCAGTGTCCCCATTTCCATGGTGAGGCTTCCTCAGCCAACGGGACTTTGGAGTGATGTGAACTGGGAAGCGCGTGTGCTACTTACCCATGTGCTTGAAAGACTGGAAACTTTTTGTCAGGAACGCTGTCCAACATCTCTTGCATGCCACAAACACAATACTCCATCACCATATACGTGAGAAACAGTGCTAAGGAAGTTCCTGGGAGGAGACTTGATAGAGAAAATTTGTCTTCCAAGCATCTAAGTCTACGCTAAACCGATCTCGGCTCAGATGCAGGAGAACAATCTGTCCCAACACCTCCCCGTGGATCCATTTTTAACTGGAGTTGTTGTGATTGACACAAGAGGCCTTCTGAATGCAAAGGAAGTACTTGACTTCATAAATGAATCACGGACGCTCTCTCCAAATAGCCCAGGCCAAAGGAAGGGAACTAATCTTGAAAATATGTAAAGATTGCAAAAAAAAAAAAAAAAAAGACTTGTCGGGGAGGAAGCATGTATGGGAACTCCTAATCCTAATATACTGGAAGGTGGCTGGTTAGAGGAACCCAAGATAAACAGTGCTAAGGCTTAACATTATGCAGGTAGGCCTCGACTTGCCACTGTTTGTTTAGTGACCAATGTTACAATAGCACTGAAAAAATTGATTGATGACCGTTTTTGTTTTTTTCACATTTAATGACTGCTGCAACATCCCCACGGTCACATGATCAAAATTTGGATGCTTGGCAACTGGTTCATATTTATGATGCGTGTAGGGTCATGCGATCACTTTTTGAGACCTTCTGACAGGCAGTGTCAATGGGGAAGCCAGATTCACCTAACAACCGGGTTACTATTTGAACAACCGCAGTGATTCACTTAGCCACCGGGGTAAGAAAGGTTGTAAAATGGGGCAAAACCCACTTAACAACTTAGCAATAAGAAACTTGGAGCTCAGTTGTGGCCGTAAATTGAGGACGGCCTTTAATTATAATTTATAATTATAATGCTATCAAGCGAATTAAACGTTATACCCTCTCATTCATTTAGCGATCGTGTTCCATTACAACGATTTGGCAGTCAAGTGAAATGGCTGCTAAGTGAAGATACAACAGAGACAGAGATGCCACCAAGACCCAACTGGTCACTATCTCTTATTTCGTACAGTGCTCCAGGCCTGACCTGTTATTTTCCCTTTATTTGACCCCTCACAGGATGGGGATTGTGCTTAACAAGCTCCTTCTCCCTGAGGTGATTTTCTTCACAGCACAGGGATTCCCTCAAGTGGAACGGGACAATTCGCCACGGCCAGCTTGCCACGGCCAATTCACCACTGCCAACTCCCAACAGTCAACTCACTGCGGGACAACTCAATATGGGCAACTTGTCATGAGGCCACTTGCTGTGGGACAATTCAACAATTCAATGTCATTACTTAAAATAATTTTTAAATACATTTTAATTTTTGTCATTCCCCTTTCACTTTGTCCCTCCTTTGGCATCCTTTTTTAATGATTCTATTCCACTATTTCTTCAATATTAGAGTATAACTCTTGTCCCCTGGCAAATTGTCCTATGTTGAGTTGGTCCGCAGTGTGTTGGCCGTGTCGAATTGTCCACAGCAAGTTAGCTGTGACAAGTTGGCCGCAGTGAGTTGGTGATGGTGAGTTGGCCTTGGCAAATTGTCGGAGACCCATGCCAACGACAAGTGAAGAAACTGAGCTCCATGACTTTAATTAGATTAGAACCCTTTTTTTTTAACATTGAAGGCTTTTGCTGTCACATGAAATTTGGTTGCAAATGTGAGGACAGGTAGGAAAATGAATTTTTTAAAATTATAATTTATTACCGTCGTATTGGCCACATTTGCAGCTGTTCGCAGGATCCTGCAGTCAAGTGGCTGCATTTTTCTCTAGTTTCTCTGAAACCAGAAGTTACTTCCACTGTGGAGTTGAAGTCCACACAAAGTTGCCAAGGTTGGGAAACATGGCCTTAGAGCAGAGCTGTCAAACACCCGGACCACAGGCCGGATGCATCATGCGCTGGCCACGCCCACGCCCTGTTTAGCGAAGGGGAAATAAGTATAGATACGTCACGTGACGCCACCATGATGACACGAGTTTGACACCCCTGCCTTAGAAGGACTCTGCTATGTTTTTCAGATTTGAAGATGGTCCACCATCTGCTTTGCATGCAGAAGGTCGAGACTTGGCTCTGGAAATCTGCTGCTAAGCGGATCTTAGACAGCAGAGAGAATCCCTGCCATCGCTCATAAACAATACTGAGTGATGGACGCCTGTCCTGTGTAGAAGGCATCTAACTGTGGAACGATGGAACATCATTAGAAACCAGAGAGGGACATGTGGAAATAAGGAAGACAAAAAACCAGGGAATCCAGATCTTCACAGGAAGAATTCAAGAGGGGAGCCCAAAGAAAGGATATATTTTTTGCTTCTCTTCATTGTACAACACATCAACTAGCTGGATCACATTTTTGTGCCGCAACCGCCGTAGGAGTTGTATTTCCCTGGAAGAGGGGAAACAGAAGAAAATGTATTGGCAAAGAGATGAACCTAGCCTCAAACATACTGTAAAGTTCTTGCTGTAGGAATGAATTTGTTGTGTTGAACTGCTTATTGTACAGAGAAACATATATAGGTAGTCCTTGACTTACAACCATTCATTTAGTGACTGTTCAAAGCCACTAAAAACAAGGTTGTAAGTCAAGGTCTCTGTGTCTGCCTCTCCCTCTCTCTCTCTCTCTCTCGATCTACACACACACATATATAATTTCTTTGTAGAATAACCATTGAAAAAAATGACTTATGACCAGTCCTTGCACTTACAACTGGTCCTTGCACTGACGACTTTCGCAACATCCTCATGGTCACGTGATCAAAACTGCACAGAAGTCTGAAGAAAAGTGAATTTTAACTGGTTCTCACATTTACAACAGTTTCAGCATCCTCATGGCCATCCTTTGCCTCCCAGGACGTGGAAAACCTGGGTCTCTTGGCAGGCATTTCCACCAGAATTAATGCTGCAGGACCTACAGCCCGTTGCATTTATTAGAACACCATTATATGATCCTTCAGATAATCATATAGGTAGCCCTCGATTTACAACCATTTAGTGACCATTCAAAGTTACCATGTAAGTTTTTCAACTTATATCCACTGCAGCATCCCCATGGTCAGTGATAAAAATTCAGGGGTTTGGGGACCAGCTTGTATTTATGACAGTTGCAGCATCCCGAAGTCATGTGATGGCCATTTATGACCTTCCCAGTCAGCTTCTGACGAGCGAAGTCAAAGGGGGCTGGGGGAGGAGTGGATTCACTTAATGACCATGGGACTCACTTAACAACTGCACTAATTCACTTAACAACCCTGCCAAAAAGACTGTAAAATTAAACGTGCCAGATCTGATTAGCAACAGAAATTCTGGCCTTGGTTGTGGTCATAAGTTGGGGACTACCTGCAGTTTGCTGTTGGAACACTGACGTGCTTACTTCAAAGACCATGCAGCCAGAGCTGCACTCCCTACCCTCCGAATTCCTTCCCCAGAACAATCACTTTCAACACCCTTTTCTTTCATAGCCAATTTTATGGAAACAAAAAAAGGAATGGAAAAATATGTGATGATTGTAAGAACATTCCCAACAGCATAATCCATGAGTGGGGAAGAATACCAGGGAAAAGGCGCCTCACTTAAAAGCACCCATAATTATTTGCTGTCTGACTGCAGTCATAGGTTCCAAGGATACTGTGCAGATTGTAGCTCTGCCTTTAACACCATTATACAGCCATTACCAAGACAGAGAAAAGGATCTCTCTTAGCCCCCAAGCTATCTGCTTATGGACGGCGCTCCACCAACAGGAATGTCAGCAGTCAGAGGTACTTTTTTTTTTTTTTTTTCCAAAAGGCAACTGGACTTTCTGGAGTTTTTTTCTTTGAAAAGTTTTGTTCTCATCCAAGAAGCTTCTTCAGTTCAGTTCTTTAGAACTGAAGAAGCTTCTTGGATGAGAAGCAAACATTTAAAAACAAGTTTTCAAAGTGAAATGTTTTAAAACAACAACAACAAGGAAGTCCACTTGCCTTTTGGAAAAAAAACACTTTTGGGACAACCATGAGCTGGATGATTGAAACTCTCCATAGACATCAGCAGCCATATTTAATTCAGATAGGAGCAAAAGTCTTTGCTGGACCTGGACTGAAAAAAATCTCCATTTTCAAACATTTAATAGAACAGGAAGTTTGGTGAGTGACTTTGTCTGTGTGTTTGTCATATGTACCTACTGTAATCTCACTTAATACGCAGAAAATTTTTTTAACAATGCAGGAGGCAGAGGGCTGTGTATGATGAATTTCTAACAAGAAAGATAGTATAAAAAAAACCCATCAAATAAAATATTTATTCTCTTTTGTTCTTACTCTCATGCCATAAATAGTTTAGAAGCAGCAAACTACATACAATTGGCTAATTCTATTTCCACTGGTCGATTACTCATTCTCTTTCCTGCGTCTGTCACTTCAATCTTCCAGTTGGCCCTGGCTGAGTCCCCAAATTCTAAACCAGCAGAGTTGTGAGGCAATCACACATTCAAAGATTTGAATGGACAGATTAGCATGGATGAAGAAACACTTTCAGATTTGAGCTCCATGGCTTATTCACAGGGTGCATGGAACAGGCGTTGGCAAATTGCACAGTTTTAGCCGAGCTGATCCTTACTTGGGTGTTATGAAGGTAACACAACTTCATTCCCAAAGTAACAAAGAGGTTCTATAGGACATAGAGACTAACCTCCTCCTCTGTGCAGGAATCCTAGACTGTCCACCCTTTTCTAGAGCTAACCCAATGAAGGAGACGTCTTGATTGTTGGTTTCGCTACTGAACTGCTCTTATTGTAGGAATTTTTTTTTCTAAAAAATCTCCCTTCCAGTAGCTGAAAACTATTCTTTTGGGGTCCTCCACTCCATAACAATGGAGGTCTTCCCTTTCTTCTTTATGACCTCTTTTCAGATACTATTATACAGGTAGTCCGACCGCAATTGAGCCCCAAATCTCTGTTGCTAAGCAAAACAATTGTTAAGTGAGTTTTGCCCCAATTTTATGACCTTTCTTGCCACATTGGTTAAGTGAATCCCTACAGTTGTTTAAGTTAGTAGCACAGTTCTTAGGTGTATCTGGTTTCCCCCACTGACTTTGCTAGATGGTGGCAAAAGGGGACAACTGTAACCGTCCTAAGTATGAGTCAGTTGCCAAGCATCTGAATTTTGATCATGTCACCATGGAGTGCTGCAATGGTCGTAAGTGTGAAAAACGGTCACAAGCCACTGTTTTTCAGTGCCGTTGTAACTTTGAACAGTCACTGTTGCAAATTGAGGATTACCTGTATTATATTTCAAAGACTATTATATATTTTCCTCCCAATCTTCATTTTTCAAGGTTAAACATTCCCAACTCCTGCAACCTGTTTTACTTCTTCCTTCTCCTACTCCAGAACTATTCTAATTCCTCTCAACTATCTATCCATCCATCCAATCACCCACCCATCATCCATCCATCCACCCCACCCATCCATCATTTATACATGCATCCATCCATCCATCCACCCATACATACATACATACATCTACTCACCCACCCATCTATCCATCCATCCACTCGTTTATAGAACTTATATGCCTGCCTCACTCATATAATGATCCTAGGAGGCGCAGAAGAATCAATATAAACAGACATAAAAACAAAAACGCTCTTCCCACCAATACCAAGTTTTGGGCTCAGATTGACTGGTTTGTGGAAGGTCCTTTTTCCAAGAGCAGGGACAACATTTGCTTTTCACCAGTCATCTAGCACTTCACCGGTTCTCCAGGACTTCTCAGAGATATGAAGATTTAGTCAAGCCAACTAGTTCACACATTACCCTGGGATGGAATTCATCCAATCTTGGAAATTTAAATTAATTTCTTGATCCCATGTCTATTGGTCTCAACCCTCATTTTTCTCTTGACCATCTTGTTAGCATTTCACCATTTTCACTAAGAAGCTGCTATTCTTTTAACTATTATTATTATTACAAACATATCCAACGGAGCCTTTTTGTTGCTGTTGTTGGCATCGCTTGCCACCTCAGTACATTCCAAAATTGCTGTGACAGCCTGCATTCACCTGTGGCTTCTGCTGACCGTCCATGCAGACTCCCAAATAAACTGTTCATGTCAGGCAACTGACAAAAAGAAGCTGAGATTAGGAATTATTTTGGTTTCTTTTAAGAAAACACTTCATCGATGGTGGAGCTGAGAGACTGGCATTGGGGCAGAATCTTAACGTCACCCAAAGCGAATCTGGTTTGAAGTGGGGACATTTTGATGGATGAGGTACAATGGCTTTCAAAACCTAAGGTGGATCTAGATAATGGTGGCTATTGAAAAACTGCAATTGTTTTAGTAAAGGGTAATGGTGATCTGATAGACCTAAATTGAATTATTTTTTGTTTACTTTACTTTGTTTACATGGTGCATGGCTGCCCATCTTAAAACAACTCTGGGAAGCTCACAGCAAGAAAACTATAAAAAAAACAATTAGTTGTATGCTGCTGAAGCTTTAGTGTAGGTTCAAAACAGACCTGGAAAAATTATTTGCTATAGGGAGATATTTGGAGGGAGATCTAGATGGAAATTCACTAAAAACCAGATGAGCTATGGAACAAGAACACACACACCCAAATCTATCTAAACAGTTCATCTAGATTAGTAGAATGCAATAAAATATAAATGTTAAAAAAGATCTAAATACCAATGTCTAGGCCACCTAACCATTGAAGCATAGCATTGTTTATATTTTAAAAAATCAGATACTGAACCAGTATATGCCCTCAGCCTTCAGCTGGTCATGATGCGATCTACAGTGTGATGTGGGACCCTCGCAGTCACAATGAGGGGAGGATACTATGCCCCATTTATACACCAAGTCCCAGTAGACACCATGTGAGGTTCAAGTACTATTCAGGATTGTTCACTGCTGAGGTGACAAGATTCTGGCTCTTCTTGGTGACAAATATAGAATGACTACCGTCGTGTCACCCCAAGTCCTTCCCTTCATTAAACTAGATATAGCTAGCTCCCTAAGTTGTTCATCACAAGATTTAACTCCAGACCTCTGATCATCTTTGTTGCTCTTCTCTGCAATCTTTCTATAATCTGACTCTCAACATCTTTTGTGTGTTGTATGGCCAAATTGGATGCAGTCTTTCCAAGTGCGCTCTTACCAGGGCAGTATAAAGCGGCACTCACGTTTCACATGATCCTGATGCTATCCCTCTGTGGATGCGACTTAGCACTACCTTGGGAGTTGTGGGTGCTCCATCACTGGAGGTTTTCAAGAAGACTCTGGACCAATACTTGAGCAGGAGACTGGACTAGAAGACCTCCAAGGTCCTTTTTCAACCCTGTTATTCTACGTTCTATAGTTTGCGGACCCACCACAGGGGGTTTACGAAGGATTGAAAAGATGTTATGATT